TCGAGATCATGCCAGGACACATCGTTTTTCCAACCCTAACCCTAACCTGGTGCACACCCCTAACCCTAATATAGGACTCCAGTTCCAATGATAATAGGGCAATTTCGAAAAAGTGTTCCTGCACTAGCTATTTCTGCCCTGCTCAGCATCTCTGCCCATTCTAAACACATTCCAAGCATCGAGATCATGCCAGGACACCTCCTTTTTCCAACCCTAACCCTACCCTGGTGCACACCCCTAACCCTAATATAGGGCTCCAGTTCCAATGAGAATAGGGCAACTTTGGAAAAGTCTTGTTTCAGTAGCGTTTTCTGCACTGCTCATCATTTTTGCCCATTCTAAACACGTTCCAAGCATAGAGATCATGCCAGGACACCTCTTTCTTCCAATCCTAAGCATACCCTGGTGCACTTCCTTTACCCTAAGATGGGGATAAAGTTCCACTGAATGGATAGTTTTGAAAAAGCCTTCCTTGAGTAGTTTCTTCTGCATTGCTCACCATTTCCACCCATTCGAAACCCATTCTGAGCATCAAAATCATGCCCGGGGACCTCCTTTTTCCAACCCTAACCTGTTGCACCCCCCAACCCTAATATAGGGCTACGGTTCTACAGAAAAGATGCCGATTTTGAAAAAGCCTTCCTTCAGTTGCTATTTCTGCACTGCTCATAATTTCTGTATATTTTAAACAAATGACAACCTTCAAAATCATGCCAGGATAACTCATTTTTCTAATCCTAGTATAATTAATCTTATTCATTGGAACCCTAATCCCAAACTGATGGCAAAATTTGGGCAAAATTTGAGTTACATGGATCCTTTAAGTAAAGCAAACCAGTTTAACAGCATCATCTCGAAACACTGTTAGCCATGGCAACTGGTGCAGAATTGTCTTTAGGTGCAGGCCAGGTCACAATACTAACATCTAGGGAGCCATATTTTGAATAATTGAGATATAGTACATGATATGACAACAACCAATCATTTGAGGCAGAGAAGAGCACTTCTTCAAATTTGATGTTGGGCAATGAAATGTCGAAGAGGGAAGTGCTACAAACTCAAGGCATTTTCTTCCTGAAGTAGAGGCTACCTTCTATGGTCAGCACTTTAAAATTTCTCGATTTTGACATTCATGCCTTCAGTTATCTTTCCATTCGGTAATACCTAAAGCTTCTTCACCAGACACCACAGAATTGACCTGAAGAGAAGCTAAACCAGGGCTGCATATCCCTTTTTGCTGCAGGTTGTATCCCACCCCCCCGCACTTTATTATACAGCTTAAACACTGTGTTGTGGGAAAAGATCAGAAAAAGGATGATCTCAGAAACCCCCTGCATAGGGTTTTCTTCATTATAAGCAGGGAAACCCCATTCCTATCTTCAATCAGGAACTGATGCTAAGAGTGATTTAAAGTCATTTTAACTTGGAATATCCAACTGGTTACTTAAGTATAAGCACAACTAAATTTCCGAATTGAGCTGTTTTATATGCCTGTAAAGTGCTACACTAGTTCTTAGTAGGCATGCAAATAATTAATTATGCTTTTTGTATTCAAACGTCAAAATTGGTAGGAACTTTATTTGTGCATATATATGTATGTGGAAAAAATGGAGCCACTAGGAACTATAGGGCTAATACTAAAAATCTGGAATATCTTACTGCTAAGAGGAAAAAGTTTCAACACCCTTTTCAATAGAGCAAAGATGCTTTATTGTTCCTTGACAGCTTACCTAAGGATAGCTGTAAAAAAACCCCACAAAGTAAAAAAATAAGCCTATTTGTACCCAATTTCAATCAATGTGCATAGTTAGAACCTGCTGCATTTTGACGGCAGACACCTACGTGGTCTAGATGAGGCTTTCCATTTCAGATGTCCACAAGTGAACACCCCCACACTTGCACAAGACTATTTTTAATGATAAAAGTATTTGTGTAAATTTCTTACAATTAAGAATAATTTATAAAGGGTGGTAAACTAGTGTAAGCCTCTCCAATGTACCACAGCCCCTTTGGAGGGACTATGTCTATGCAAAGAGCAAGAAACAAAGGGCAAACACTGTGGCAAGCACAAAAGGGTTTGCAGTTACAGTGGGGAGAAAAAACAAGGTGGATTTATCTACTAAGTCCCTTGTGATACGCTCCTGTATGCAGGTGTGGGATACAACCCATTGTAAGCCGAAACACCATGGCACACTATGGGTTGGACTACCAATGTACAGTATGTAACTTATTTGCAGCATGTGTTGCCATGTTATGTGAACTCACCCAGTCTAGTGAGGTACCCACACTTCCCTGAACTTAACATAGTTTTGCATTTATTTCCCACACAAACCCCACAGTTTGCATTTATTTCCCACACAATTTTTGGTTGGTCCCTACAGATGGAAGAGCTACTTATTTCATTCATAGGTTCATTATCAAATAAACAGTGAAAGACATGGAATTCAGCTCAAATCTTTATCTGTATAGAAACTAGAATTCAGAAGAAACTAGAATTTATTTTATAAATTATATATTATTCTTCTGGAACTCCAAATACTACTTTATCATCAGAAAAGCAGCACAGAGTAGGTTAGCACAAAAGATACCAAAGCTGGGGGGGGGGGGGGTTGGAGCCACACTTTCTTGCAAGTAAACATGCACAGGTTTGTGCTACAAATCACCCAAGAATAGCAAGAGAGCATCACAATTGAACAATATGAGGAACCTGGATATCTCACATCTAAATTTCAAATTCTGTCCTCTACACCTACCACAGCAGCCCCCTGCAGGGAAATCCTTGTTATCTCTGTGAGATTATAATCAATGTAAAATTTGAATTGGAGAATTCACAGCTCACCCGGGTTAGAAAGTGTGTAATGCCATTGACAGATATCAATTGCACTAGACCATTTCTAACCACCATATGTTAAAATGTGTGGTAAAGGCAGGAGTTGGGTTTGGAGATATGTATTGAATGACACACAGGACAGTATACAAGGCTGCCACTCAGCTTATACAACTGACATAGCACAAGTGACCTCCTCTAATGCAACACCAATATCATGTGTTAACACAATAGTCTTGATGATAAAATGAATTAAGATGATGAACTCAAAGGGTATTGTAGGTAAAACTAGATTACAATGAAAGCAACAGAACAAGCAGAGGTTGCAAACTAGAATCTCATTTACTATCTCTTAAGGAAGCAAGTGCTAAACTTCCAAGTAAGAAATTTCAATTTGTATATATGTGACTGAAATGTGTACTTTTCTATTGCAAGCTGCCCTGAGCTCAGCTACTAATGAACATAGCTTTCCTCAAAGCTATGAAAACAATATTTTCTTCCACCCACCCCCAACTTCTCGCTCTGTTGTTTGGTTGTGTGAACAAAGCTGTAATGAAAATGTCACACGGTCACCAATTTGTTACACTGGGCTTTTGTAACAACTGCTTGTCTCTGCATAACCTGCATCCAGCAGTCAACATTGTATGGTTGAGCTCCCAGAATGCAATCATATTTATGTATCAGACAGAATGATAGTTGTACTATGAAAAATACACTGATGCAAGAACCTAACTGTATCAAGGACTCTTACTATTTTAAATATATTTCTTATTTTATTTATTTATTTAAAACATTTCTATGCCGCCCCCATCACAACAAAGCCTTGGGGCAACTCACAAAGAATACATAAAAACATACATAAATAATAGTATTTCTTACTATTTTAAATATAATTTTAAGTATATCTGGCTGTTGTACCTTTTGGGTAGGGCTGTGAACCATGTATGAATGTGAGGTGTGTGTTCATGTGCCAAGAAAGAGAATAATTAATTCCTAAAGCTATGCATGCGAGGACAGGTTTCATATACTTAAAAAAATCTGTACAAACTGAGTAGCTTGTTCAAGAGAACAGCTTTATGCCAAATCATGTTTTTAAAAGGCCTTCTATATATAATAGTCATACTGACAGAAAGGTACCCATCCATTTAAAGTGCAATCCTATTGCTGGTAGGTGCTGTCCAGATGGCCATAAACTCTGGAGTATCAGCTCCTAAGAAACTTACTCCCATCTGAGGAGCTAGGATCCTGAACTCAGGGTGACCCTCCCTCTGCCCTTGCAGCCAACATGGAAAGAACTGTGCCAGCTGCAACCCTGAGGTTGCAACAGCCACCACAGAGGTGGTATTTTGGGGTATCCAGTGTAGGTAGGAGATTGATTCCACTAGCACACACAGTATCTTGGCAGCCCTTCAGTCTCCCCTCCTCATGCTCCAGGGCAAAACAAAGACAACACTGAAATCAACCATCAAACTGTTTTGCTGGGTGGGAGCTCAGAGCTGACCTTCACCTTCACCTCCACAGTTCTTCTGCCCTCAATAGGATGCCTACAATACTCTGATTTTGGAGGGCCTCACTGGACTGGATTGTTGAATGATGTCAAAACAACCCCCAGTCAATTACATTTGTCACATTTATTTTTCTCTTTAAACCTCTTCTGATTTTCATTGTACAATGTTATTTTACTGTATACTTTAAAATGGTAACTCACCCAGGGAGGCTTATGGTTAACTGTTAGGATAAAAGTCTAATACATACATATAAACTTGCAACAGAAAACTATAAAGAGTGAAACTTTTTTAAAATAAGTATACATATTTAGAATTTCAGCCTCCGCTCTTCCTAAGATGTGCTGGGAGAAACCTGGGTATCATCTGCTCGCATTCATAGAATACATGCTTGTGTCAGAGGCAATTCCATAAAAGAATAAAACCAAGCACACTTCTGATTTTTAAAGAAATACCTTATATCTCGGAATGAAATCACTGCAGCCAGAGAAAAGTTTTTCTTTAAAAAAGCTCTCTTCAAATAATTACAATCAAATTAAACCTGGGGTGGAGGAGAGGATAGACTTTAAGGAAGAAAAACAAAGATTTCCCACGTCAGATAGAAGGGAGCAAATGTTGAGTCAGCACAAAAATTAAGGATTTTACAGTTCTTTTCGTTCGCCCGTTCAGGCGTGTGCGTGTGTGCAAAAATAAATACACCTTGTGGACCAGTTCCTTTGGGAGACTAGCAATTGGAGGTGCCTGCTTTCCCCGTCCCCTTTCAGAAAACCTATTGCCAGCTTCCTTCTAGCAGACTTTCAGGGAAACGGTAGTCCATGCTTGCCTCCCAGCGCTAACCTTTGCCTCCTGGACTCTGGCGATTCTTAGCTACAATCCACTTCCGCCTCCTCAAGTCCCTCAGTAAGGATTACCCCCTGTCAGAATTGCACTCTGCCTTCCCCGTTACCAAACGGTAGGAACAATCGCCATTCAGCCCCCAGTACCCCCTTCTCGTTTGGGGAGGCGGGGAAGCCGGCGGACACCACTCCACCCTCAGCGTTCCCCCGTTCGCAGCCCCGATAAGCCTGGAAAGGCACCAGCTGCTACCGCGACCTCCATCGCCCCCGCGACGCCCCGATCCCCACTGCTCCTATAGACCCCGCCCCTTCCTCAGATTCAAAATGCTCAAACAACCGTTGGAAATAAGTCCATCATAGGCGCCCCCTCCCTTCCCCCATTTTTTTAAATATCCGGGTACCTTGAGGCACTCTCGTGAAAATCCCCAAGTTTAACCGCTTTACTCTTCAGAACCTAAGAATCTGATCCCTTCTCACAGATTGGCTAATCCGTCAGCCTATCAGCATAAAGAGGCGACTTCCTTTCATTGAATGACAGAAGTCTGGCATAATCACATTAGGAAACCGCAGTACGCAAATGCGAACTATGAATGGGGCGGAGCGAGAGGCGTGGCTCGTGACTAGCTCGCCGTTCAGGTTTTCGTGCGTGCTCAGTGGCGGGCGCCATATTTGAAAGTGTTTGTGGTAGTCCCAGCTGGTGGGCGGGTTTTGTGACTTCTATAGGGATGTGGAGGAGTGGGTGGAGGGTCGCGGAAGCTACCTCCACAGCCCCGTGGGTCCCCGATCTAACCAACTAGCTGTCGGAGGAGCTGGGCATTTGTTACCTGAGAAGGAGGAAGCGGATGGGGATTAAATACTGTCATTGCAGGTGGCCCCGCGACACCAGTGCCTGTCACAGAGGTGTACTGACGTCACTCAGCGGAGTTATGAGGGTTTCTGATGCCACGCGGGACTCCCCAAAGGCCAGGAAAGTCCCGCGGAATAGATGGGGGGCTATGGAAAACGCGAGGGAGAAAACCTGCGGGTGAGAAGAGAAGTGCCTCTCACGAAATAAGGAGGGGATTGGGTAACACTCCTTTAAAGGGTTTTGCAATGAGTTTTATTTCTCTAGATCATGGTGGACAGGTTGTGGCCTTCCAGATGTTACTCGATTGCAGCTCCCATCCCATCTTAGATTGTCTGCATTGCTTGTTGGGGTCCGTAATATCTGGAGGGCCAGGAGTTGCTCTAGGTTTCCTATTCGAAGTTGAAGTGAATAGAGGGATGAAGTCTGCTTTTCGAAATGCTGCAATTTCAAGAAGTATCTGCCTCATCTGAATGTGATTCAGCCTCTCCCATCCCGCTGCGTCTCTCCATATCACATCGCATTGATCCCTGTACATGATTTCCCCTCCTCCAGCTGTACCTACCAAAGCACACTCTCAAAAACAAACAAGCCTTGCTTGGCCTTAGTGCATGGCTCTGCATCCCTGTCATCTCTGTGATGCTGCTTCTTACCGTCTTGAAATCACTCTGCAAAACCTGCTTTGTGAAACACTTGGCACAATCCCCTAGTTCCTGTGCCTTACTGTAACACAGGCTGTCTTTTGAACTGAAAGCAGGCACTACTGAAATTGCATGTTTTTGTTTACTTAGGCTTCTTTTCTATTCCTCTGCTCTCCCTGTGTAGATGTTTGAATTCTGAACTCTTCAGGACCGGGGACCTGTTGTTTTGTATTGTGCTGTGCATATCAATGGGCCTATTTAGATGATGGTAGCAGAGTTGGGAAAGATTAGGCTCCTCCTTTTAAGCAACAGATATATTAAAGCCAATAGGAGCAGCAATGACCAGTGCAATTCTAAATACTTATAATGTCGCACTGAAGTGTATTCCCCAGAAAACATGGTTAGAATTGCATAGTTTGGATGTTGGATGAACTTGCTCATTTAACAAATTGGGCTTACACAAAAGACAACAATCTTTTTCACTCTAATTTACATAAACCTTTGAGGTGTGGTTTCAGTTGTGCTGTAAATTGATAAAAGATACGGAAGAAGGCATAAAGTCATGTTGGATCAAAAAAGTAGTTCTGTTAAAATGGAAAGTTTGCTTACTAGACTATCATCCTAAGCTGGTCCACTGAAAGTCATTTTTATCTGTTTTAAACCTTGATGACTGGATACTAAAATTTCACTATTAGAAGTAATATATGGAATAGGAAATGAAATCCTTGCTATGGAATGAAAGCATTGCTGTGCCTTGCTAGTTTGCATAGAATTGATCTTTGGTGCTTAATAAGAATGTGATCAAGAATGTACTAATTTGTAGGAATGTTACTACTTATTACATAGAAGTTGGTAAAAATCTGCATACTGTGGAAACAATCGTGATTTTCAGGTACATCCTAAATAAATATTTGCTTGGCTCTAAGAAACCTCACAGCTAGCTTTATGTAACCAAAAAGCCTTTAGATTTGATTTTCTTAAGTCTGCTATGCACAGGTTGCAAGGCTCATAGTAAACTGCTTTTGAAAGAGACTTTCAAAAGAAGCTTGTGATATTTCCATCGGTTCTGTTCAGGGAGGATCAAAAATTGCCCTGTGACCCTGAGGTCAGTCTATTTAAGCCATGAATAGCTGCTTCCAGAAAAGAAAAGTTCTGAAAAATATCCTTTGGGGTGGGGTGACTGATTCCTAAGTTACTATTTCCTATAAGCCAGGGTTGAAGAACCCTTTTTTGAGGGGTAGTTTTCCTTGGGGATGATCTGTTTGATGGGTGTCTGCTTTTGGTGGATGAGGCTGAAGGCAGCAGTAAGCAGAACTACTACACTCTGCTACCTGTTCTCTTTCTTCCTCCCCATCCAGCAGACTGCTGGGCAAATACTGTTATGTAAAGAAGCAATTTATTCCACCTTTTACACTGTGAATACTGGACAGGTTGGGTGTAAATGTTCATTAGTTAGCTAAGATCCACTGACTTCTGAAAATCTATGAGCAAAAATGCATTTGGGACATTAGTCTCATAAGTTTAATTCTTTGTTATCTGTGTAACAGTAAGGCTTTCTGTTTTGTTTTTATACAGTGGTGGATGTATTTTTAAATATGTCTGTTTCTAATAATGATGAATTCTATATTTGTGTTTTAGGTGATATGTCCAACCAGAACTCATCAGTGTCTGAAACAGAAAGTGAATGTGATTTTTATTCTGACTGTTGGGACGAAATTGCTTTACCAATCAGTCAAGGTAAATTGGATGCCAGACAATAAAGGAACAATTTGATGCTCCTTTATTACTTATTCTGAGTTGCTAATAGCACAGTCCTGTGGCCCTAGACAGCCATAGGATTATTCAGAGTCCCAGCTCTGGCCTTGGACGTTCATTCTGAGCTTAGAGCTACACTCAAGTTCAGAATGTCCTCTGCCTTCCTTGTAGCTGGTGCTGAAAGAACCATGCCAGCAGCTTCTCTTGTGTTGCAAACACAGCCTTGGAGAAGCTGAATGCCATTCTAAGGTGAGGGGAAGAGACTGGTATGAAGTATCCTGATGGTGCCTTAGCCATCAAAGTGTTTTGCAGGGGTTAGAGAAGCATGGAGTCTTTTCTTCCTTGCCCCTTCCACCTTGCATAGGATGCCTGTAATACTCCAACATTATAAACATTGATATTGGAGGGCATCATTATTAATTTACCCTACAGTGGTGATTGTTTCTACTTGGGTTATGACAGTGGGTTCTGTAAACAACCATTTTTAGAAAATGATAACTTGTGTTCTTTTATAATTTTGGGAAAGCATGTTGTTGAGTTGATGGTAATTTTCTTCTTTTCTCTAGACTTGGTTAACTCTGACAGTGAAAGTAATCACTGTCTTCCTGTGAAGAGTCCATGTGGCTTGTTTGAAAAACAGAAACAAAAAAGCAAAATCAGCAAACTTGTAGAGATCTCAGGAAATGATCAGACCAACTTTAAAAATTGTTGCAAAGATTATCCCTTGCTCCAAGCCCAAAAATTAGATAACACTGGAGAGTTTCGTGTAAAATTATTGCCAGAATCTATACTGCATTTAAACGTTAAGGACTATCATTCAAGTGATCATCCATCAAAAACTTATTCATCAAAACAAAATTCACTCAGGTATTTAAATAGAAAAATCCCTCATATTGCTGACAAATTAGTAAAAGAGCAAACCTTAAAAGAAACTTGTATATTTCATAAGCTACATCAGAAGCTGTCAACAGCTGATAACACTTCAACTTCCAAGCACAACAAAGCTGTGCAAGTTTTCTTTCCTTGTAGAGAAACAGAAACTGGGAAAAATATTGTCTGTGAGTGCTTCAAACAATCAGCAATTCCTGCTGAGGTAAACAAAACGCCTATAAACTTTAAAACATTCTATGGTAATGAAAGTCAGCTGGTAAATGATAATGTAGATTGTGCTTCAGAACTTTCCTATAAAATAGACAATCCCCAGACAGCTGAGCAAATCTATTTGCATACTAGTTCAGGAAAAGTTGTAATTTCTCTGGCAATAGAAGCAACTTATGTAGATCCAGTTGGTACGTTACCAGGTAATATTAGTTCTTCAAAAGGTAGACAGGGCAAAGAAGATTCACAGAAGAATTCTTTAGCTTTTCAGGTTAAGAATCCTGATCATAACCAGCTATCTAAAGAGTTGCTCATTTCTGTTGTTCCAAGAGCTGTGCACTTAGATTCAGAAAAACAAAAACAGACTACATCTTTGACAAATAAGGTAGGATTTGCCCAAAGCTTACTTGGTGAAAGAAGTCAAATTCTAGGAACAAATACAGAAACATCTGAATCTAGCTATCCTTTAACAACTCATACAGAATCATCTGCCTCAAGTAGTTTGGATTTTCATTCTGATCAAGTGTTTTCTGCATTGAAACCTTTATCTCTCAGTCAGTTGTTTCCATCCTCTAAATGTACGTATGCAAATCAGTCTCCTCACTTCTTTGTCAGGTCATTGCCTCATTACAAGGTTGCATCTGCTTTGAGGACTAGTAAAGTTCAGAAAGGGCAGCCAAAGGCCTCCAGGCCTGTGAATTCTGTTGTGTTTACACCCCCAAAAGTGCAAAAAAATAAAAGACACAAAGGTTCTGTCTTTTCCAAATTTCATTGGCCTAAAGCTTTGGAGGTTGAACCTATAAATGAAAATATTTCCAGAAGAACAGAAATAAATGAGCTGTGCCACTTGCCTCTTATACAGACTACTAAATGTTGCTGCAGCCCATTGCTTGACTTGATTGTTGACCTATATTCTGCAGAAAAGAATTCTGAAAACCTCTACAGTGTTCACAGAAAACCACCCAAACGAACTGGATGTGGCAAAATAACCCATAGATTTTCCTCCCATTACCTGCTAAATCCAAAAAGTAACTTTGAGAGGTCTGAGTACATTTCTCAAGTAAGAAAGACAAATAATTTGAAGATGCAAAATATATTGAACTATTGCTTAGGATGGGCTGGAAGACAGAACACACATAACAACTGTAATGGGGAGATTTGCTCCACTCCAAACAGTTCAAATACACAGGAGAATGTGATTTTGACTTCATATTCCCCTGCTGATGGAAAGCATTCAACTGTCCCAAGTTCAAAGCATAGTCCAGTTCGAGGACCTGCACCCTGTTTGCAACCCGAGAGAGGGAGTCCTGCAGCACTGTATCTTCTTGCAAATGAGAAAAGGCATTCATGTGTACCATATATGCAGAATGAGAGAGGCACTTGGAATCCTGCAGCATCTTACTCAGACTGCAGATGTTGTATCTCCCATTCTCCTTGTACAAATTTTGCTAAAGTAGTGAAGCTACCAAAGGAACAGAACACACTTAACAACATATGTATGGAAAAACTGGATTATGGAACTGACCAGGTGGCTTGTGGAGGATTAGTTCTGAAGGAGCTCTCAGTCTGTCCATGTGGAAATAGGCCACAATGTGACTTGTTTCCTAGTGGAGATATTTCAGAGTCTGTTAGGAAGAAAACAAGAGCAAGTCCTGATAGTAATTGCAGAGTCGCTATGACTGAATCAAACTGGTTGAATTCCCCTACAGGAACCCTCGACACAGAGAAAGCTTTCTGTGCTAGTTGCCATCATGGCTTCCCGTCCCGTTCTTTATCCAATACAGATAGACAAGTTTCAAGAAACCAGTTCATTAAATTAGCATCCTACTTTGACAATGGGTTTTCCGACAAAAACCTCGACGAAGATGTTGCTGAGAGAAGCAAAGCAAGGAAAACAGATGAAAGAAAAAACTTCAGGTTTCATGTAGGGTCAGGTACAAGAAATCTAGAAGAGAGTGGTATATCAGGTGCACCCATTGCATCACCTAATGATGGCCATCAAACACCAACATGTTTTGTTTCTCAGCCTCTGTGTTTATGCTGCCGGACTGCTGTTAAAAAATATCTTGGAACATCAAGGGAAGCACATGACTGCTTTGCCTCCGAATGTAAACTGCCCAAGGATTGCCTGAATAGAGAGAGTGTTTTTCTAGTAGACTCTTGGCAGGGAACTAAAAGCCAGTGCAAATGTTCCCAAGAAATTCTCCCTTTCAATATCAACCCGACTAATGCATGTAAGGAAAACAGAGCTGCAATTTCCAAGAGAAGGGAGTGTGATCTTATTCAGGTTTGTACCCATTCATCTACATACTGATATACATAGTAATAACATTAGAGGTTATATCTGGCTGGCTGCATCTGCCATCTAGTAAAATGGACAAGGCTGGTGGCACAGATCCTAACTTTTAAATGTGCCTCCCAATCAGCTTCAGGGGGTTGAGGAATCCTCTGGAGTAGATTTGGGGCAGGAGAGGAAAGAAAGTAGAAGGCCCATTCATTGAGCTGAAATTTACTTGTGTGATGTTGGACATTACCTTAAAGTAACAGTCTTGTCCACACTTATTTTGCAATAGACAGTTTTGAACTCATAAGGTATGAATAAAATTGCATTGGATAGCACTGGATGTAGTTCACTATTCCAGTCATGGAAACTTACACTTTGTGAAAAGTTCATTATATCTCAGTAGCTGTACAATTATTCTTTCAAATTTAAACCTTTACATTCTTGTGGTTTTGTACCAATTTTGATTATTAGGCCAGGGGTCAGAAGATTTTAGGATCTACTTAGTTTGCCATTGTAGATCCACCTGTTGGAACCAGATGTAAAACTGAGGTTCAGGAAGGCAGAAAAAGATTGCAGAACAAAGGCTTCTGAGCATTTGCTTTACCCAGGAATTTGTAAACTCCTGTTCTGGTTCTGAAAACAGACAAATCTGTGCCCCCAACCCTATAGTTGCGCACACCCCCAACTAGCTTTTTTCAGCTATCTAATTTAGTTGGGAAATAAGGTTTTTTTGCTAAGCTGCTGAGAGCTAGTCCCTCTTGCTGACCTACTACAAAAATCATCTGGAAAACTACAACTAGATCTTGCTCTGCCCCACCATGCATTACTTTACACTTGCTTACATTAAACTGCTTTTGCCATTTTGATGCCCATTCTCCCAGCTTGGAAAGATCCCTCTGGAGCTCCTCACAACTCCTTTTGGCTTTAACCACTGTAAATAGTTTGTTGTCATCAGCAAACTAGGCCCCTTCAGTACTTACTTCTAATTCCAGATCATTTATGAATTGATTGAAAAGCATTGGTCCCAGTACAGAATCCTGTGGAACCCTAATGGTTACAGCCATTTCTTGGGGGAAACTACCATTTATTCCCACTTTCTGCTTACCGATTAACAAGTTACTAATCCATACAAGCCCCTACTGCCCTAATTCTATAATTGCTAGCATAATTAAATATATGGAGGGCTTTGCCTGATAAGTCATAGATATGGAAGAGACAGTGATAGCTACCAATTACTAGCTAGTTAAATACTGTGTAGTGTTCAGTAAAATGGCAGACTAGTAACTGCTTTTTTGCCAGGGTGCAGCATGGAGAACTAGGTGCAGATGGAGCTCAAAAAACTGACTGGTGATCCAGTGTGTACCTGCACAAACCTAGATGGTGAAGATATAATTTCTTGGCTGGCTACTTTCTTGAAACATTTGTCTTCATGTGCAGGGATACTTTTTTCTATGGATTAATGGTCAGTGTTCTGAATCCACACATGTATTTTGAAGTGGCCGAGCCCAAACACAGGTTTGCTGCTTCAGTGAAAAGTAGGCTAAAGAAGTTCTGTCTGAAGCTATGAATGCCACTCGCATATATTTGTTGAATTACTTGTGAAATTTCTTGTCTCATTTGCATTTATTTTGTAACAATGGAGCCCAGGATACAGCTTAGGGTAAGGCCCTGCCAAAAAGTTTCAGTGCATCTGAAAGGCACTTAGATTTGTTTTTAATATTGTTTTATAAATGTTTGGTTGATACCTGCTGTTTTATTTGTATGTTTGTGCTTAATTGATCTTTTGCTTTGTTGTATTGTTTTAGATAAGTTGTGAGCTGCCTATGACTACTTTCTATTGAGTTAGAAATGCAGAATATGATGTTTTAAATCATTGGGCAATCATCACTGAAAGGATGGTCTATAATTGTAGTGCAGACTTTGAGAATATTCCACACTATACACATTGTCAATAGAAGTAGTGGTATTTTTAAAACATACTGTATTCACATGTTTACAATACCTTATTTTCTGCCCAACCTATCCATTAAAAACACTGATGGGGATTAGAGCAAGGGAAATGCAAGTTTGTATTCAGATGTCTTTAGAATGTGGGACTGAGTTGCTGGCTTCTCTGCTCTTTTGATCAGTCAAAATATACAGAGGATGTTGATATATTTTTGTTCTTGAGAATGCTCCACACAATGCTTCACATAGGAAAAATAGAAAGAACCAAGGTGTTTTTTATTCATTGCCTTCCAAGTCGTGTCCTGAAAAAATTCCAACAGATCATGTGATCAATACTTGTTGTTCAGTTGCAAAGTCGTGCCCGACTCTTTGCGACCCCATGGACAACATTCCTCCAGGTTCTCCTGTTCTCCACCATCCCCTGGAATACACCCAACCCCACATCCACCTCTCCAGTGATCCCATCCAGCCACCTCAATCGCTGCTGTTCCCTTCTCCTTTTGCCTTCAATTGTTCCCAGCATCAGGGTGTGATCAAGAATACAATACATAAAAATGTTTGTACTATTTCCTATGTTTCTCCATTAACAAAATGTGTAATTCATGTAACATTCATATAGCAAAATGCACAAGAGCCACATTATAATCCATAGCTACGCAGCTCACAGCAGTAATGACAAAGTTAAAATTGTATTAAATATACAGTAGGTCTCCTCAGTGAAGTAAGCCTTGGCTTTGGAGATAATTTTGATACATTCTGTCAATGAAAAGACACAAAGTTGCATTCTTTTGTGTAGTATATAATGGAAAAGGCAGCAATTAGTGTATTAAGGAAGCAGATGTATTGTCATCACTCACTTGTATTTTCATTTGTATTAGGATTCTTCACAGATTAATCATGGTTGGAAGATACTTGATGGGAACCACAAATGCTGCTAAAGCAAAGTTCAGTGCAGTCATTTGCAATAAGAAGACAGTGATTTAAAAGTGATGAAATGTTTGTGTCTCTTGGAGCCTGCTTCAGAGATAATGTGAATAAAGCACCACACAACAGATAGTCATGTGTCACTGTCAAATAGGGATCTTACTTGTTATTTTTATTTCTGTACCACCTGATAGCTGGGAATCGCTTGGAGGACTACAACAGTTCTTAAAAACAGTACAATATTATGTCATACAATCTTACAAAGATGCACACTTTCTATACAGAAATTTTAAAAAGCTAGAAAGTATACTTTAAACGTCATTTTAATTGTTAACAATATTTACTTATTTATCTGGCCAGGCGACTTCTTTTCTTTTCTTTTCTTTTCTTTTCTTTTCTTTTCTTTTCTTTTCTTTTATAACTTTTCTAACTTCTTTTATATCGTTTATATTTTTTATTTATTTTATATTATTAATTTTAATTTTATATTGTTATTTTTGTATTGTATTGTGTTGTAAGCCGCCCCGAGGCTTCGAATAATAATAAAATAATAATATACTGTGAAGATAAGCTCTGTAATGAGACTAACTGGAATATTGTTAATTGAAATGACTGGATTATTAATATTTAATCATTGATGAAGAACATGCACCAAAGAAGAATAAACTATCCAGGAGTGAGAAAATCAGAACTACAGTTCTATACCCCTTGAATAGGATTGCTCTGTTAGGTCCATAATATTGAAGATAGATATAATGGCTCTTCCTCATGTAAAATTACAGAGTGAGAGATGATGTCCATCTGTTATAGCAAAAACAACTAAGGGTCTCTTCAAAGGATAATATATTAATTGTTGCATGCAAAATGATGTTTTCTGCTGGTACCATACAGAAGTTCTATAGCTAGTTCAGAGGAATATCTTAACTTTTACATGTATTCCCTAAACAGTTCTTACTTCAGTGACCCACCAGAGAAATACTACTGAAATGCAACACTTTGGATGCAGGTGCTCATTTCTTTGGTGCCTTCTGCCAATCTCTGCATAACAACAATATTACTTTGGCTAGGCACTAATGCACACATCCTGAATATTGGTACCATGATCAAATTTGAAGTTAATTTGAGTAGGTTTTTCTGCATGACCTTTCGGCATCCACATGATGGCAGTATATTTAAGGCAGAAATTTACCTCTTCTGGATCAGTCTTCTCTTGGAAAACTGGGATTTGAACATTTTTATAAAGTTTCCATTGCCAAGTTTTTGCAGTCTAGTATCTGTTTACAGATCTCATGAGAGCCTTTTTAAACTAGCATTGTGGAAAGCCTGAGATAATTGCTTAGTGCTGTTACGATATCTTTTCTTTGCAGATGAGTGCAAGCTGGAATATTCACTTGGTTATGATATAGCCACAGCGGAAATTGTGTCTGATTGTTTATTACTATCTTGTAGATTGTTTCTCCAGGTCTATGATATAACATGGGTGAAGTAACAATGAGTTTTCTAAGTTGTATGGCTGTGACTAATCAAATACTTGGAAGCACTTCACTGTGATCTTGTTCAGATGACATGGGTTACCAGTTTCAAATTTGTTTTGTTGGATTCATATCTTTCAGCTGAGCATAAGTTTAAGTCACTAGTTACTGAAAGGAATGCAAAGCAATACAGATTTAATAGAATATGAATAAATGCTTAAATATGTGAATGCAGTATACTCCCAAAGCTCAAAACTGAGAACCATGATTGAATATTTGCAAGGTGTTTGGAAAACACTTTCTGCCTTGTTATGGCACTGAGCTGATTCATCCATATTCTTAACATTTTTATCATATAATTACTAAAGCATTCAGTCTTCTCATAGTGCATCTCACATTCATACATTAGTCCTTTATAAATTCATAAATTAGTTCTTTATTTTGGACTAAGAGCCTCAGAATAAGCAATGTTTGTTTCCATGATCGTCTGTATGGTTAACTACTTCATAGTGTAAACACGTTTTCTGTTATTTTGTATACTACAATCCTAAGTGTACATACTTGGTGCAGTAAAGTTCAACAGAACTTCAACAGACTGCTTAGTGCAGTATTCTTAGTCATCCTGTTGATAATAAGATGGTTGGTAAGCATTAAGGGCCGTTCAGTAATAGAATGTGCTCTTACGTGTCCATCCTGCTGTTTCTCAGCCTGATGACCATTCATACCACCCAGAAAACAATAGTCATGGTGTCTGATATGCTGCTGCCACTGAAAGTATGGCTCTTCGAATGACTGCAATCTTTCCCAACCCTGAAGGTATAGTTCAGCTTTAATAGTCTGAAAGAGGATGAAAGGTCAAGTAGTGATAAGCAGCTGAGTTTGTGTCACTTTTTTGAGAGTTACCTACTGGCTTCATCCTTTAAAATGGAAGTTTAAGCCTGGTCCTGCTTCTAGTAAGTAAAGAGACTGGAATGACAAGCTTGTAGCATCTTAATAAATAATATCCTTAAGGATAGAAGTGACTTTTCTGGCTTGCTATGATGTTCACAAGAGCACCAAAATTAGCAAGATACCATGAAGGTGGTGCAAAATATATCAAAAAAGTTCAGACCAGAAATCCAGTGCAGCGGTGAACAGAGTTTTTTGGTAAAATTAAACTTGAATTTCGTTTTCAGATTTGTGGTTATATTGTAATTGAATTAGTTGATTTCTTGCAGCCCTTTCTTGTTCATAGTTAAGAGTTGGCAAAAATCCATTCACAGGTATTTAAGAACTCCTATAATTATTCCCTGACTATAGAAAGATATCCTACTCTGGTACAGTGGTGGTACTTCCTTGCACTGCACAGAGAAGGGTCTCTGAATTGCCAACACAATAAAACATTTCTTGTCAATCTGTAACACTGGAATAAAAATTAATTTATGTTGGAGGACTGTTGTCTCAATATTAACTGCATTTGTAATATAACCTATGTAGCCACTACCACTAATCACCTTCAAAGCATCTGCTCTCTCAGTTTGTAGAATTTGGGATCTAGAACATTGGATTGAGACTTAATCTATTTTTCATGGGTCTAAAAATACTTATCTGGGTTCTTCCTTATTGTGGCTGCCAACAGAGCTCCATTGCTACTGGTGGTATTTAGATACATCAGTTCCTCAATCTCCCTTTCCAGCTTGGATCCAGATTTCTCAGAGTAGAAATTAATGGGGTCAATGGGATTGAAGTAATCCCATTGTTCTCATTGAAGTAATCACTCAAATCAATGGGAATGAAGTAATTCATGGCTGGCTGGATTTCAGTGAGTCCAAGTCAAAGTTTGACTAAGCTGGATCAAATATTTTGTGACATGAGTTAGTAGAATCGATGTGCCTAATAGGGACATTCTGAAAATAACACTATTTCTGGCTAATGGGAAAATAATCTGCATCCTTGTCACTAAGTTTTTCCTTACAGTTTAATAATTTATTTTAAAATAACTGTTGAAAAATCCAAACTCTATATCATCTAGTAACAACTATCAGGTTAAAGCCACCACCCACAGAAGAAAGTCTCTGTTGTAACAACTTCAGAATGAAAAACAATTTTTATTTAATGTTAGCAGCTTGACTGATGGCATTCCTGTCTGCATCCTGTTGTTTTGTTGGATGAAGTTTCATTTATGGGTGATACTGGCCCCAAATGATTCCTCTGTGCAACAAAACATCCTTAATCCATATAATCTTTGCGGAGGTTGTAAATAGGTTGAAAGGCTGTATATAGATCCAGCTACAACCTCCCAAAGTAGCTGTGAAGGTCTCTGATAGGCTGTCAATATGGATGAGTGGAAGAGACAGAGATATAATTGAGTCAGGACATAAAGGTACAAGCCTGGCATTGCTTTGTAAAGCCGATTCTAGTCTGAGAAAGGATAAGCTATTTTGAAAGAGTAGGAAAATTGATGTAAAGTCCCTTTTGTAGTGTTGTATGAAAGCAAGAAACACCCAAATCTTGTGTGTGATCTTAGTGCAGTGTACAAATATCAGGAAGATACCTAGCAGTGTCAAAGTACCATTAATTAGCCCCATAACATTTTTTTTCATCTTCATTGGGAGCACAGCATTACAAAAGTTTATATAACTGCTCTGTTGCAAAGTGATTCCACCAGAACACTTGGAAAACACTGTGATTTTTCCCCATCTGTGTAATATTCAAGCCAATAAGTAATTTATATTTTTAATATTTCCAAAAGGGAAGCTGTGTTTGTTGCAGCAAAAGAACAAATGATTTTGCAGCACCTTAAAAGAATATCAAATTTATTATATAATAATACACAATATTATTATAGCATAAGCTTTCAAGGACCACATCTGCCTTCATAAAAAGTTTTTGCCATTATACAGCTTTAGACTACCACAAAGTATCATATGTCTCTATTATTTTCTGTGTATAAATGAGACTTTCCAAAACATGGGACCACGCCCTTTAAAGATGCCCAGTGCTTTCCAATTTTGTGCTCCCCAGATCTGTTGGATTACTCCTCTCAGAATCTTCCAACCAGTTGTGGCTGTATGATTTTAGGATATGTAGTTCAACACGTCAGAGTGGCACCAGCTTGAGGGGAGGCAGATATGAATATGGAGATTCCATTTACTGTTCCCAGTTGTACAAGAAGGTTTTACACCATTTCTTGTTTAGTGCAATGAAGCTATAACTCTATATGCTGTTACTTTCTGGACAAGAATCAAAATAGAAAAGATGCTTCCTATGGCACTCTTTACATTAAAACATAATCCTGTATAGAGGATTCATTAATGAATCCCATTCCCATCTCTATTACACCCTGACTGGCCTGTGACACAGCTCAGCGAAGGTTAGATGGTTTTTAAAAATGGCAGACATGGTAAGCATTTGGCACGTATATGCTACAAGAGATGAACAAGAGCAACTGTGACATTATCTTTGTTTGCTAAAAATAGCATCCTGCAAAGTTTAAAGAAAAGCACATTATGCTTGTTAACCTCTCCTGTGTCTGCTGCAGAACCTTCAAAGACAGGCTTTACAGTGTTAGGATGCAGCATACCCTTTCAAGGCTTGCCTGGCACTCAGACAATTGAAACTCAATACATTGCCAGCAACAAAAGGGGAGGAATAAATAGTTTTGCCATGGCCCTGATTT